ACATAGAGAACTAGAGATCCACACAAAAATATCAAAAAACTAATGAGGGAGACAAATCTATACAATATAGAGACAAATGTTCCCTTCCCTAATTTGAAAGGAAGTTGAATGGTTGCTTTCAATTTCGGAGTGATTCATGAACCTACACACAGGACTTAAACTTATAGCATGGATTAATAGGTAAAGTTGGGATTGAACGTGAGTTGAATTTTCTGTGACTATAAAACACCTTAGATAATAAAAAAGAATGAAGGTTAATAAAGTCCCGATTTTCTCATTTCAAAGTAGAAATAGATAACTGGTTCAATCTATAAGCCTATATAAGTTAAAACACTGAACTGCCTCGTTTTATTATTTACGAGAGTTTAAATAAAAACTTATTCATAAACTTTGCACTTAAATAATATGATCAAATCTGGAATATAAACAAAAACAAAATAATTGATCAAAACTTCTTATTCACGTGTTGTCCTTGACAAATTGTAATTGCTAGCAGGTAGCAACAAAACAATAAAAAATAATCCTTTATTCACGTGACAAAGGGATGTTGTTATATGATTGATGTTATTGACTTGGGTCATTGGGAAAGACTCCAATCTCTTTGTAGACAATTTCACACTCAGAGGGAGGTTTCTTCGAGAAGAAAGCAAAATTGGCCTTAATAATCTTTGAAGTTTTTAAGTTTGGTTAAGAGAATGTTGTATTATTAAAAAGATATATAAGATTACTGATGAGGTAGATTACCTTAAAGATTAAAGGAAATGTTATATTATATATGTTTGGTTGAGGAGAATAAAAGTATTATAAGAGACCCTTTTACTAATCACCTTTTTTTTTTTTTTGTTAAATATTATTATTTTATTATTTAGATTACTTTTAACCCCCTAACATTTGATAATTTGCCAACACCATAGCCACAGTAAAAAATTAAAATTTAACAAAATACTCCAAACCACCCAAGATCACTGTCGGCCGTCGGCCACCATCGTTGGCCGTCGTCAGCAGTAGCCAGAACGACACACAACTGGCCGAATTTTGTCGAAAACGGCTAGATCGGCACACAATTGACCAAATTAGCACACGAATGGCTAGATCCTGTCGGTCGTGCGCCGTTCCAGCGATTGTCAGCAGCAGTCGACAATGGTCTTAGGTGGTTGGGGGTATTTTGTTAAATTTTAAACTTTTATTGTGGTTGAATTGTTTTAACAAATTCTCAAATATAGGGGTTACATAAGTCATTTTGCACAATTGGAAGGAAATTTGTGTCGAAATGTTAATTAACTAGGGGTAAAATGGGAAAAAAATGGATTACCCTAATAATCTTAAAATAACACACTTTCACTCGCCAATCAGATTACCCCCGATATAGCCTCAGTAAACACTATTAACATTGAAAGATTACCGGAATCTTTGATTACCTAAAACCAAACACGGTAATATCCTATTTTTTTAGATAGATTACCGGCGTAATCTTCCATTACCGCTAACCAAACGATCCCTCTAAGAAACACTGTCATTGTTGTCGTCCATGAGATAAACTCTTGCCCAACCCTGAAAGTAAAGTTCTTTGGGAATCTCAGTACAATCGGGCATGCTTGATGATTTAGGTTCAATTTTACACAATTGTTCTCCATGCTCTCCATGTACTAGAAGTTATCTGTCTGATCCTCAACAACGAAAACTATTTCATTGCCTATGCGCTGATGCATACTAAGCGAACCGTTGCACCTGTAATACCACAAACAAAAAAATTCACGAATTAAAAAAAAAAAAAAAAACTTTGGTAACATAATTATAATATGAAGATGTTTAAGAAAAGTGGTAAAGAGATATGACTAGTGAATGCAAGTACCTTCCATGTACTCGCTGATACGATTCATGACAAAAGTGGTAAAGAGATATCCAGAGTTTTTTACAAGCTCGGAATTAGTTATAGCTTGGGGAATGTGAAGTTCGCTGAAGCGAGCTAAGCTTATAGAAGCAAGATGAGTGGACAGTTGTCTCACAGATTATTGATAAATTTATCCCGTAATATCAAGAAGAGGATCCAGAAACTTATCACCCAATCCAAGATTTTATGTGATCATGCCAATCATGGGATTAACTTCCGATGATTGAGCCGTGATCCCTAAGATTACTCATTAACCGTTATCAAATTCTTGTATAAATAACCTCACAAAACTCATTGTAAGGGATTAGCAATTCTAGAAAGATTATACTTATTTTTGTACTCAAAACATTAATAAGATAACAGTGGACATACATAGGCTTAAGTTTGAACTTGCCGAACTACTTTAAAATTGCATATGTTTTTTATTCGCATTTCTTTGTTGATTTTAATTAACTACGCACACAACCAATCTGATTCCACCAAGGTCAATTGGGTTTCACTAGTTGTTACGTAAAATCTTAACATCTTCTTTCAAATAAAGTGGATAACTAGTGCTTTGAGGGATCAGATCTCCCAATTAAGACTCTAAGTATGAAAATTAAAACCCTAAATTGCTTGTTTTTAATTATGAGTAAAAGACATGTTCCTACCCAAGGGTTTAATGAAATGACAAGTTGATACCTTTGATTTCATTTATTCCAAATTACCACCTTGGTAAGTTGATACTGATTTCATTTATTCCAAATTTCCACCCTTAAACTAACATGGTTAGTCATTGTTGGTTCTAAACAGATGCAATTACCGAACTACCCTCCCATCTTCTTCTTCTTCATCTCCCCCTTCTTCTCTTCTATCGCTTCTCTCTCCCTCCCTCAGCCACAGCCACGCTCCTCCCTCCCTCCTGAAACCCCAAAGTTAGCACCACCCACTACCATTCCACGCCCATCCACCAACACCCGATTTTGGTCCCATTTGGCTTGATCCCGACTCTGTTGGCCTTCCCTATCACCAACACATGCCCCACTGCACTTCCACCTCCAAAACCCCCACTTACCCGAACTAATTCCACCAGATTTTACGCTAGCGTTGCTAGGGTTCGCACGACCTCTCTCGTTGAATTCTGGAGCTTTCCAGCGACCAAAACCAAAATAATTGACACCACCATTACACTCACAAACAACCCCTCATCAAAAACGCTTTTGTCGGCCGTCACTAGGGTTCGCACTTTTCTTACTCGTCAGATTCTAGTGATTTTCGGAGACCAAAATCAAAATTGACACCACCCTAAGAGTTAACTTCAACCCCTTAACAAAGCCCCTAACGTTTTGGCTCCTAATCGTTCACCGTTCGCTAGCTAAAGCTTCTTTTGATTGTCTGCAAATTTTGATTTTCAATGACTTGGAGTACGGTTTCTAGAAGTTGATTGCCGGAAGTTTTTTTTGTTTGGTGTTGTTTTGTATGAAGTGTTGTGGTCTTGATTGATTGAGGAGTATTTTTTTGGGCTTTCTCCGCTTCCCTAACCACCTACACAACTACTCCTATCAGATGTACATCAACTACTCGATGATTTTCCCTAGTTAGTGCACCAATCAATTTCGCCTGAACCAATTAATTTTCCCCAACAGTGGTAGAGGTGGAGGCTAAGAGGAGGCGAAGAGAAATTTGAGATGTGGAGGTTATTTTGAGGTTTTAATTTCAAATTATAATAAAAGATTGTTTTATCCTTTTTAACTGTTAAAATAAATCAAATGATATTACTTTAAGGGTGAGAATGTAGAATAAATGTAACCAAATGTATTAACTTGAGATTTCGGCAAACCTCAAATGGGAACATGTCCTTAACTCTTTTATTATTCAATAAGTCTATCCTTACAAAGAAGTCTACAAAGAAGCTTACAAAGTGAAGAAAAAACAAAGGAAAAATGGAAAAAGAGAAAGAGAGAGAGGGAGAAATGATGAAGATGAAGGGTGGAGGTTAACTTTGTATGCCTCCTTTGTAGGCTTCTTTGTAAGACTAACACTACTGTCTACTGTTTATTATTTACTAGAGTTTAAATACCAACGTATTTGTACAATGTCAAAGATATATTTTAAAGATAACAATTTATTGACTAACTCCAACAACTAAATAACTTAAACAAAATAAATAATTGACAAAGACTTCTTATTCACGGGCTAGTCTTGACAAATTATAAATGCCAGTAACAAAATTCATATAATAACAAAAAAAAAAAAAAAAAAAAATTGTTTTTTCACCAGACAAAGGGATACTTTTATATGATTGATGTTCTTCTTAGGGGCGTAGGGAAGATTTTTATGTTAATCTTGTTACATTATCTTTTTTTTTTTTTTCACTAATGCCATACTTTTTTAATTAGAGTTTTTATTGGCAAACTCTGCTGATGAAAAGAGAATTTTATTAATGATGATAGTAGAAGATACCTAAAAGAATACATAATGAACCTGATTTCTGAAAGAGTAATACTACTCTTATAATCTTTCTTATACAAACTGATATGACAAAAATGATTGGATGAAATTTTTTTTTTAATTTAAAATCACTCAATTATCTTTTACCACATCAATTTTATGAGAAAATTTATAAGTATAGTATTATTCTTTTTGAACACACATATAAATTAAAAAATTTACACTAGATGAAAGTATCAAAAAAAAATTAATAATAAGGAAATTGTATCTTACGGTAATCAAATTTTGTTTATGTATCGCTTTTTGAATCACACAATTCAATAAATTACAAACATATCCTTTTCACCTTTTGTATAACTCTTAAATTTGAATAAATTGTGCATTAGCACTATGGTTTAAATTACATTTAAAGACATAAGTCAACAATTAAAAAGATAATAAATTACTAATTGTTAAAAAATATAAGACATAAATAATAACTAAGAAAATTCATAACAATTATAATAATTAATCATAAAATCATATTAAATTATAATAATTAATCATATTTTTTATGATCTTACAATTAATTTTTTAAAATTAAACTTATAAGTATATTATAATAAATTAACCTATAAATTTTTTTTAATTTTTTTTTTTTGGGCCCGGGCTAGCCCTCTCTATGCTCCGTCACTGGTTCTTATTGAATCATGTCATCGGTAGACATTCCAAGGTCTTGTAAGACTTTAGGACACTCAGGGAGAGGTTTCTCCTTCAAAAAGCCAAGAGGATTGGCCTTGCGAGTCTTAGAAACAATGCCATTGTTGTCTGTGAGGCTAACTCTAGCATGGGTATCAGCGTGAAGTTCTTTGGGCTGCTCAGAGCAGTCGGGCATGCTGGATGATATAAGCTTAATGTCACATAGTTCTTCTTCATGCTCTCCTTCTACTGGAAGCTTGTATGTTCCTGAGCTATCAGTCTTGCCTTCAACAAGAGAAACTACAGCTTCGTCGCCGCGTTTTTTGCATTCTAAGCGAACCGTCGCACCTGTAACACAACAAATAACAAAGTTTCACGAATTAAAAAAACAACTTTGGTTCCTTAATTTTTATATAAAATGGCAAAAACAAAGAGATTTGATTAGAGAACGCAAGCACCTTCCATGAACTGGGTGAGACGAGTTATGAACTGAACGCGACAAGTGTCACAGTATACTCTGCCTTCCACACTGAATTTAGGTTGTTTGTCTCCATAGGCCAAGTCAAGGAGGGACAAGAAGCAAAAGGCAGAAGCTAAGATGATGATTACAGCCTTGGGAGACTTCATCATTGTTCCTGCTTTGTGTTTTTATAATGGGATCGATGTAGATTTTAATTTTGTTTGGGAGGAAGACTATTGAGACATTGACGATGAAGCTGAAGAGGTAATTAACTCTATTAAATAGAAAATTTGTTCCAAAAATAGTTGAAGGGGTTTGCTAAATGTGCGTGTATTTGTTATGTTTCTGAGGTTGTGATTTCTCCATTGTTTAAACATGGTTAAAGCAGTTGTTTTCACCCCTTACTGTCTCTCTTGTTTCAGCCAATTTATGACAGGTTACAATAAAATAAATAATTTAAAAAAAATAGCTCCTCCATCTAAGGGTTCAACCGATATATTAAGTAAATTTTTGTTCTAGGTCTGATATCAAAAGGTTAAGAACAAGGGTGGTGTTATTTGAGCTTTACCTAAATTCTCTGTAAGCCCCAAAATCAATTAAAAAAAAATTAAACTTAAAAAAATTTATTTTATTCCAAAATTATCATTTTCCTAATCTCTTTAACTTCTCGTTTATTTACTCAACTAGACATGGGTCCACACATTAAGCAGATATGGTTATTCAATGTTTTTTAAATAAATTGTAAACAAATTTGTTCTAACAAATTAAACTAATTAGATTAAGACATAATAATTGTTAAATTATACCAATTTTAAAGTAAATATAAATTTTATATATATACAAAGTTATGTTAAAATAAAATTAATAATTGTACTTGTATAATTATTAATATCAATTATAGGTAGATGTCATTAAATCATTCATCAAACTTGAGAAGATCACCTGAATATTATGTTGTCTAATTATATTTTCAAGATCATCACTTTGTACAATTGATATTATTTTTGCAGACATATCTTTGATATTTGATGTCAATATTTTGTAGTGAATCGTGTATGATATTTAAGATCACCTGAATATTATCAAGATCAACTATTTAAACTTAAAATTTATATTGACCTTTTGCAATTTTTGTAACTTATATTCATTTTCAAGTTACGTTGCGCGGGTATATTTATTATATATTTTTTTTACATTATTATTGGTTTTTTTGTGTTTTAAATATATATTTTTATATTGAAGTTCTTTTTATATTGAACTGATAATTAAAAAATCAATAAATAAAATATCCACAAATTGAACTCAAAGTCTATATCATCATAGTTCTTCTCAAATATCTCACCATTTGAAATCCGCAACCAAAGTTTACAACTTTGTCAAGAAAAGCAAAAACAATTTCAGGATAACCCACTGAATATTATTGATAAGTCTATAAATCAATCAGAGAAAGAGAAACATTGTTGAAAAATGTGAACTTTAAAGCAAGAGACTTATAGAACCAAAGGAAAAAACTTATTCTGATCGTGGAGAAGAGAAAATGAATTATTTTTATTATTATTATTTTAGAAATTAAAAAAAAAAATTAAGAATGTTGAGAGGAGAATTCTCATAGAAAGCAACAGCAACTCCAACAGTATAATCTGAAGGCAACTTAATTGAAGCATTGAAGAAGCCATGAAGATAAAGGTTCTATGACACAAATATATTTGCTGCAATTAGAATTGACCACCAACTATAGCAAAAAAAGCATTTGATGATAGTATCCTAAAGGAAGACAATAATTGTAAAACCCACAAATCAAACAACAAAATCAATCCAAAAATCAACAAAAAAAGCTAGAACAAATTGTTAGACCAGTCGTCACAGTCACAAAATTAAACCTAAATACCATAGTTAGCGGTAAACAGGGTCGAATCCACAGGGAGCAAGACTAATAACCTAATGTATTTTAAGTAGCAGAAATGAAATTGGCAATTGATTAATGAAACTAAATCGACTAAATGCAAATAATGAAATAGTGAAATTAAAACAAATAAAGACTTTATAATAAAAATGTTACCGTTACGGTTTTGGTTCGACATGAGACCGACTCATACAATTCTTCTCCACCCTCTACGATCCCCTAAACCTACAAGGCAAGGTAAATCAATGAAATGGCTTCCCGACACTCTAGGTATAATCTATCCTGTCTCACCCGATCACTCAAGTTCGATTGGTTAAAGACTATCATTGAACGTTGATAAACGCTATAAGGCAATACCACTAGTTGGTACGCGATTAACAAATACAATTTTTCAACACGTAATATCCAATCAACCAACTTCACAATAAACGCAACAATAGTAGAAATTAAATTAAATCCGAACACAACTCAATTACAATCGATGCGAAGTAATGAAAAGCAATATTCATCATTTAATTATTACAAACCAACGTTTATCATTCAGCAAGTTCTATGAAAACATTAAATCATAATGGACAACAATATTCATCACAAGTTATGCTCAAATCATATTAAAGTATCGAAATCAAACATGAAACGAAAACAAATATAATCCGAAGCACAATACTACCAAATGTCCTATAATCGGGCTCATCCAACTAGTCAAGAGCTGATGAGGAGAGTCGTGGAGTCAATCCCGATCTCACCTATGCCGTAATAGACAACTGGGAACTTAGCCGCCCATGGTGGTGATGACGGAGGCCGAAACGGTGGAAACAAAGCTGATCATGGTAGAGAGGAGGTAACCGACAACGATATGATGTGAAGAAGGGGCGAAAACGACCAACGGACAGCCCGAAATATGAACAGTTGCACTTGCCAGAAAACGTTAATTTTTCGACGGGTCTTCCGAACAACGACGGCGGAAATGGGATCCGAAGGTACAGATGGAAAGCTCTGGTGATGGGGAGTTCAGATCAGGTCCTGGGGAGGTGAGAATTCGTCGGAAATGAGCAAGATCTGGCCTGAAAGATGAAGCGGCGCGGCGGCGATTTAGCGGATTTTGGCGGTTTTCGCGGCGGTTGAAGCTAGAGAAGTGTAGATCCGGCCGTGGGGAAGGGAGATCGACCCTTGGGGAGCTAAAACGTCTTCGAAAAATGGCCAAATCTAGCCGGGAAGATGAAACATCGCGGTGGGAAGATGAAGCTCACGGTGTCGTGCGTGATTCACGGTGGTGATGAAGGGATGATGGTGACCGGAGCAAGGGGAAGCCGAAACGTCGCCGGAAAAGGAGATGAAGGGTCGTCGGAGCTTGATCGGAGATGGTGAAGAGTCGCCGGAAAATGATGGATGAACAGCCCCCTGGTTCACGTGAAATTTCGTTTGTTTTATAGAACAATTTGTAAAATATCACTTGGGTCCCTACACAATTGAAAAGTGATAAAATCAGCCCCTTAAAACATGACATTTTACCCCCTAAACAGCATAAATGAGACAAAATCACCCTTAATCCATAAACCACAACCTAATATCAACTCATATACTTTCCAAAATTATTCCAAACACGTTAAATTCATAAGAAAAATATTAGGAAGCGATTTTCGTGAATAAATTCATAAATTCTTTAATTGTCTCAATATACTTCAATTTAATCACACATGGGGTATTTTTATCACCAAAATAGAGTCACTTTCATGACTCTAACACAAATACAAGTAAAACTACATATCAATATTTGTTTTCCTTTGTCATTACTAAAATTGAATTTGTTTTATTTGTGTGATGATAAAATGAATGGTTTGGAAGCAGGTCTATAGTTATCGTAATTCATCATATAATATATATCAAATTAAATCTTTATCTCTCTAGTTTTCAAAGATTCAAACCACTCATCAATTGAATTTTTATTGAGCAAGTTATGGCTAATTTACTACTGACTGTTAAATGGAAATCGAGAAATAGGGGAAACTGAAATGCATGTGATAATAAAATGAATAGTTTGATAGTGGGGCTACAGTTATCCAAACTATGCGTATAATATATCAAATTAAATCTCTGTCTGTCTAGTTTCTAAAGATAAAAACCTCTCATCAATTGGATTTTTATTGAGCAAGTTATGGTCAATTTACTACTGACTATTAAGTAGAAACCAAAATATAAGATGATAAAATGCATGATTCAGAAGTGGGGTTATAGTTATCCAAATTAAGAGTATAATATATATAATTAAAGCCCTATCTTTCTAGTTTCTAAATATTCAAACCTCTCATCAATTTGACTTTTATGGAGAAAGTTATGGTTAATTTACTATTGACTGTTTAGTGGAAACCAAAATGTATGTGATGATAAAAGAAATTGTTCAACAGCGGCACTACAGTTATCTGCATTAAGCATATAATATATCAAATTAAAACCTTGTCTGTCTAGTTTCTAAAGATTCAAACCTCTCATTAATTGGAGTTTTATTGAGCAAGTTATGGTTAATTTACTATTGATTGTTCAATGGAAATCTAAATGTGTGTGATGATAAAATGAATGGTTTACTAAAGCTACATGGTTCAGCATCAAACATCAGTTGATATCTGTTAAATAAATGAAATCAGATATATTCAGCAACAACCTCTTTTCATGATATATGTATGTAACATAAAAAAATATCAATAAAAAGAGATATAACAATTACAATTAAAACTACATATCAATATTTGTTTTCCTTTAAGGATAATAATAATGGTTCGGCATATTATAAATGGTTTATTAAAGCTACATGGTTCGGCAACAANCACCCAAGCCGTCAAATTCCAGAGTGGGAGTCGCTCCCAGAGTTGTAGCTACAGCAGAAACAAGTCAGATTATCCAAAAGTTGTTTGATGACTTTGAAGTTTCTTTTTTGATGGGAATCAGTTAAAAAAACATGTTTTATGATTCAAGTTCATCAGGTTTACAGACGTCACAACCCCATGAATACCTATTTTCTAATACCTTTGTGAGAGAATGAACTGTAAAAATCGGTTCTGAATAACTAGCCAGCCAGATTGTATTGTAGATATTGATTGGCATGAAGGAATTGCTCTGTTTCAAGAATTTCATTCATTGTCAAGTTCAAAGTTTTAAGAAGATAATAGTTACTAATGGTTCTGACTCAGGTGATTTGAGCTGTGAAGTTTGGCATTCATTTTCAAAGTTCATCCAACTTCACATGGACGTAGTTCAATGTTCATTCATTAT